ATCGAGAGCTCCTGTAACTTGCACTAGTGAGTGAGTGAGTCAATATTTATCGTCACATCGGCAATATTTCAGCCATATCGTGACGAGAACATTTTATAATTATATTAAAGATAAATAAAGTTAGAAATTAAAAAAACTGTTGACGAAGAACAGTAAAACTACTAGTGTATCACAGATATCCATTTAAAACTAGCAATTAAATCTAAAATATTGGAACTAAAAATGACAATACAATTTAAAAACAGGCTGTAGATTGCTAACGACTGAAGGTAGATCACCATACTAGGGACCATGGAGACTTGTAACTTGCACTAAATATCCTAAGACGATTCATACATTATATATGAGATTTACTCAACAACCAGTATGGATTACACCATCTCAAGTTTCAGTTGGAGTAAAATATCTGTAATTACAATGAATTAGGACCATCCTTTGGTTGGTCGGATTGTTTGGTCGGTTTGTGAGCATTCGGGTCTGGGTGGGGACTTCTAAAGGTTTTGTTTTTAATGACGTCATTTCCAGATTTGACGTACCAGTTACAAACATGTGGTCCCATGCAATTTCATGTTGTACAGTGTGTCCCCCTTATCTCTGTTTCGGGTACACAACTGGCTTGCCATTGAATGAGTTTGTTGCGTGTCCCGCTGACGGGGCTGGGTGACCTCGACTGTTCTCCCATGTCATTATAGCTGTTTGTTAGCGATTCATTCCTGAGAGGTTGAAAGGGTGCATCTATTATGATTATGGAAACGATTTTCTCGTTGTTTCGTGTTTATTGTTGAACATCACACATCAATATTCCAGCTATATGAAAAGGTCTGTAAATAAACGAGTCAATAAACTGGACCAGACACTCCAGTGAATGACATCCTGAGCACCGATGTACACATATGGGATTTGATGACATGTGTCAACCTCGTCAGCGAGCCTGTCCACCCGATCCCGTCAGCTGCCTCTTACGACAAGCATGGGTGGCTGAAGACCAACGGGTCTTGTCTCTTTTGTTAACTGCTGAATTTTAGAGGTAATGTTACAATAATTATAGGCACGCTACATCAAATTCATATAGACTCTTCAATGCTGTATCATGGCATAACCATGTTCAACCAACCATTCTGCATAAACGCGATTTGTCTATTTTCTTGTGAGCGCTGTATTTGGTGCAGAAACCTTTAATGATGAGAGCGGCGGTAGTCACGGACTGGCGAGCTCATGATCATTTCAGAAAAATAAGACTGCATCTCTTACCGAGACGTTTGTGGCGATCCTATTCATTACGGTTCAGCCTCTTGAACAACAAGACTGACTGACTGAGTTTAGTTTTACGCCGCTTTTAGCAATTTTCCAGCAATATCACGGCGGGGGACACCAGAAATGGGCTTAACACATTGTGCCCATGTGGGGAATCGAACCCGGGCCTTCGGCATGACGAGCCAACGCTTTAACCACTAGGCTACCCCACCGCCCCCTTGAACAATAAGAAAAGCAACATACACATTATCCTAGATTTTCTGGCAAACTCGTATATCTTCTGTTTACGAAATACATAAACTCGCATAATTAATATGAAAATTACTAAAACGCTGAGAAATAGGCTAAATGTCAGTTAACAAAAGGGTTTAAAATATATAGTAATTGTGTAGGCATGTTTACGAAACGTACATATGTCCTTGATTTACTTTTTCAGCATCCAGGTCTCTGAGGGGATGCTGAAAAATTTGAATGTTTACCACGGATACATAAATTGTCGTTGGATATCTGACAAATTTAGACTGATAAATCATGACTAAAATATTAAGGAAAATTACTTAATTGGCATGTTAAATGTGATTGTTGATTATGTAAGCGAAATGATGAAGCCTTTTATCGTATAGAGATGCATTGAAATTCTAATAATATAACATACATGTACGTTTGTTACCCTTAAGATGAATTTGTCGCATTCTGATTGGTCAATAGCCAAAGCATACCAGACCATGTAGGGGGATTTGTCAGGGTGTACGGACCGTAGACTACACCCCGTCAAATCCGTTGTACAAATGACCTTGGCCTGAGATGGAATGTGGCTGCCAAACTGCTGATCGTTTCGAAATGTTAGAGTTGGCGTCTACAATAATGAGCATAAACAGTGCAGTAGAACTGTTGTCATAATTTCTTATGTTTTTGTGCCAATAAAAGTATTAAAAAAATAAAATGTCTCTGTATTTCACTTGCCGTTTAACAAAACTCTAATTCCATCATTTTTATTATAAGCCATCCCGAGTTATCTCCCTTTATGACCGTTCAGGTAAAATCATGGCGAAACGTTTTGCGTCTCATTTTGCTGAAGATTAAATGCTGGGTTTTCAAGATAAGCTAAATAAAAAGGTCTTAAGGGTAATAAATTCGTCAAACGGTGTTTTGAAAGGGTGTACGGGACTGTAAGACCCTTGTAAATTCCGTTTTTCTTACAAGGGTCTTACAGTCCCGTACACCCATTCCAAACACCGCGCGTAAGTAAAACTCCGTTTGGTAAGCTGATATCGGGCATCGAGTGTTTTCCGGGATTTATTATTTCATTCTGAAATAATCAAGGGAACAGCTAACTTGCTGCATACATGCTGTGTACTAGGGGTGGGTATTGCAGAGAATTTTCATATTGCGATATATTGCTATGCGAAAGCATGTATTGCGATATGTATTGCAATATATTGCATGAAGTATTTTTAAACAAAAAACTACTTATAATCGAGTTACTTCTTGATTTATAGAGCCAAAACAACACAAAATCACTAGGCTTGATTAATCTTTAATAACAACTTTTAATCATGATAAAATAAAAATGTGAATAATATTTGGCACAAATGAAACAAGGACATATCCGAACATTTCCGAGTGTTACGAAGTTTTCCGAATGCAAGTCAAAATACCGGTTTTCGATCAGCGTATCGCAATACGTATCGATTTCATATCTGAACCGGTAAATACCGGTAAACCGGTTATATTGCGCAGCCCTACTGTGTACTGTCTATCGATAGCATACAGTAGCTACGACAGGGTCGTCACTATTGGTGCTGTTATTTAGATACACTATACTAACTATCAGTTCGTATTTCACATGTATGTGAAAAACATGCTAAAACGAAAACGACAGCCTGAAGTGAAACTAGGGCTGAGACGGATACTCGGGTATCTGAATCCGGGTGGAATCGAGTACACGGAAAGGGAAAGAACTCTGTAAAGACAAGGACAATTAATTACTTGTCTTTTTCATTATTGTCATGATAAAGCACACATTTACATCATTGGTATTGCCCGGTTAATGAAGGTTATTATTAACGAATGTAATTTATCTGCGCATGAGCAGTGAGTAGTCAAGTTACAGTAACAGCGGGAACGAAAGGTTCTGTGTTTTAACGAGGAATGTAAGTAATGGTATTACTCTTTATATTCGTTAAACAGACGAAAATGAACAAGCCTCAGATCAGTTTGAATGTCTTTATGCCACCCTCTCAATTTTCCAAGATAATCTCTGTCAAATTGTGATTGAATATTCCGAAAGTTGACAGAAGTGCTGTTTTCCTTACATTTCCGGGTAATCGATTCCGATTCGGGTACGTACAAGCGGGTACTCGATTCCATTTTTTTCCTACCCGTCCCAGCCCTACGTGAAACAACCTTACCTGTACTTAAAGAGGCCTTAAAGTACTTTTGCTACTTGCATTGACCCTAACTGGATTTACAGCATTCTTTCAGGTGTTGGCGATGTTTGCGAAAGTTAACTTTTCATTAAACGCACATATATTCTACGATTAAAATCACGGAGAATGAAAACTACTTTGAATAGAATGGGACTTACCTACCCTCTGAGAGGAAGAATTATTTAGAAGTTAACAAATGGTTCTAATGTATGGGTTAAAGGCAGTTTAGTCTCTTAGATGAAATCGTATTTATGTAAATTTTATGCTAAAATATAACATTTTCAAACTGAAGACATCTAGACTTGAAACAGTAGACATGCTTGGTAGTTATTTTTGTATCAAAAGACGCTTCACTTACGATATTAGACAAGGTTAGCGTCAAGTACCCAATGTTTTTTTTTTGTGGGAACAGAACAAAATGGTGGTCATATGCTACCTGCGGCTTCCTAAATACGTGTCATTGTACCACCATAGATAAACCACTGGAATCCACAGAATATTATGGTTACTAACAACATATCTAGATACACTCTGAGTGTTCCCCTAGGATTCAGAAAGGGCAGGCTAAATTCATAGAAAAGTGATTCTCACTAGAACTTAACTTATTTATGTTGTTTAGTGTTTTTAAATCAGTTAAAAGCAGGTGCAACTTACAGAAGTTTTGAAAAATAATCTATCCACTAAATCAATTGCGGGTGTAGAGCAGAATGTCTGTCACGATTGAAATAGAGTACACATACTACAAATCGAAAAGTGTCGATCATAGTTATCCTCGTATCATAATCAATAGTTATACCTTCGGAACAAAAGCTATGTAAATCCTTGATTAACTCTACCCGTGAAGATCGGGCTTAGAATTGGTCTTCAGTAACCCATGCTTATCGTAAGAGGCGACTAACGGGATCGGATGGTCAGATGTCATCGCATCCCAATTGCGTAGGACGATGCTCATGATGTTGATCATTTAAATTATTTCAGACGTTATATATATAAGAAAACTATGGCCATATTTACATACCTTTGTCAAATTGTTCGTAGTCTACCATATTTTTTTATTTCATGACCTGAGAAACAGAAATCATATAAACAAAATTTATATTCCCAAACCATTGAAATAAATTATACTTATTTCTGTCAATATGGTAATAATTCATATACCTACGACCGAGCTGTTAGAAGGGTACGAACTGCAGGAAAAATCTAAATTTGGTCATTCACAGTTTCAAGGATATTTATAACTGTGTCATAAATAGACAGCATTCACAATTATTTCAGACGTTCTAAATTGATATCCTGCCTCAACATGCTGACCCATAGGACTCAGACGACCACCTGGTGCTCTCTGAGCTGGCCGAACAACAGTTTGCCAATGCCAGCAATGCAGACACCACAACAGAAGCCACGCCCACTGCCGAGGAGTTTGTCGATGTTGACATCGATGTTGAGACTGGCGAGGCTCTGTCAGATGATTCGATCATCGACATGGTCACAAAGAAGGAGCCAAATAAGAAAGTGGCGGTGATACAGATGATCAGGCAGCCCCACCACCTTGCTCGTTTGCTGGTGCAAAGAAACATTACGAAGGTCTCCTCAGCTACTTTGAGAACATCGGGAACCATGACAACCTGGACAAAATGTTTTATATCGGGTTGCAAAGCAGCGGCACCAATTGTGAGCAGTCCTCAGTGAGAGACTTTTTCAAGACAGTATAACTGTAAGGGTATCACTGTGATTGTTATGTTGTGATGCTGGCTTTTATGTATGTACAATAAAGGTTTGATGATCATGAACATTATAGATTTTCCTTGAGATGTAGGAAAAATCCAGACATCAGTTATCCGGATGATTTACGCAAAAACGAATGTATCCGGGTATCCGGGGTGTCACTGTATAAGAAAACGATAGCCATATTCACACACCTTTGTGTGATAACGGTGTAATACTCACTTGCTTGATAACGGTGTTAGTACCTACACCGAAAAGTCGCACTCATGAAATAAAGAAGTTGACTATCCGTAGAGCTTGGTTTTCCTTTGTTATATTTGTTCATAATTTCCCAAAAGCTCTTTAATTTCATGAATGTAAATTTTGTCATATGGGCCTCAGATGATACGTTTATTTCCTCACATAGTTAAGTATGGCAAATACTGTTCCCTCGTGTTGTGTATATAACACATAACACATGGAAGGCTCTGAACAGCCTGAAGCAGTATTTACCAAATGTAATTAAGCATTCGATTACATTATTGGTTAAGGTTTACCTCACAATTATTTTAAAAGTTGCGCTTCGCTGCTCTTTGCATTCAACTCCAAAACCTGACAATCAACGTGATTGGCATCCAACATGAAAGCAAATTAGTAACATCATCCGCCAACGAGAGTATGTTCTGTAATACCCAAGTGCTAAGTATACCGATTCAGCATCAATCTCCAGTGTACCCACTAACAGCACATTAGCAACCTCAAATCCACAATCAGAATATTTTTACCGGATCGATTCACTGTATGCACCTATGGATAAATGTATCCCAGGCAAAACAGCGTTTGTTGTTTCAAGGTCTAGTAATATGGAGTGACAGGCCACTCTGTAAAGCAGCTGTATGGAGACCAAGTGACGTGGAAAACTCATGGCTTTCTCAGTTCGATCTCCTATAAAGATATATAATATATCCCACCTTTCATGTAGCAGTTACGGTGTCGGGCACGTGTAGAAGAGGACACAATACTTGTTGTAGCCAGAGTGCTTGTGAACATGGCGACATAATATGGCGAGGAGATACTCCCAATCTCTTCTTCATGTTTCATTTTACCTTCATGGGATTTCTGGAGAGTTAGAGATCTGAGATTTTCTTTTAAAGAACAAACATGGATGTCATCTCAGTCATCCCTGAAGGATTTATATGACGAATCTTAGATCTGAAGTCTTCTGTAAAAGAACAATCTGCCAAACACGTGGAAAGAGTTTTGACTTTATGGAACATTTACAGAAGCCTATTTTAAGAAGATTGTGTTGGGTATTGGACCTGGTGATGATTCTTTGATAACTCGGCAACTGTATTTGTGAATCATTTTAATCATTTTTGAATCATTCATGTAGAGGCCCTCTGTGCATACCGATTATAATTACAATGTCAATGGCGCGTGTTTGGATTCTGTTGTTTGTTGCCATGGGGATTGAAGGCCAGAACAATCGACGGACAGTTATGATGAATCTTCGGAATCATCTGCTACAGAATTATACATCCATGAAGAGCGTTCCACCTTATGCTACTATGGCCAGTGAACTGAATATCACAGTCTATCTAAAACCGACCTCCATATTGAGCTTAGATGAAGCTAACAGAATTTTAACCTTCACGGCATATAGCCAAGTGAGTTGGACAGATCAAGATCTCTCATGGAATCCGGCCAACTTTGCTGACCAACACATCCTTCATGTGACACAGGACGACATATGGACACCCGAACTGATGATCACCAACGGTGCAGACAGTATTTCCTCCGACATCAACTACAACATCTATATCTACTTCACCGGTATCGTTATGATGGAGACATACTCCATTTACAAGGTTACCTGCGACATCGACGTCAAGAACTACCCGTTTGACGAACAGAGATGTCAGATGACCATTTCCCCGGAATATGGCTATGGGTTTGTTGTGAAGCCTCAGGTCATTGACATTCCTCTTGAGAAGTATTTCTCAGTGAATGGAGAATGGTTACTTATGGACACGGATGTTTCCGTGATTGAACTACGTCAACCAGGAATTGATCATTCATATGCAGAGTTTAACATGATTCTCAAACGTCGAAGTGATTTCTATGTCGTCAGTGTTATCTTTCCAATGATTCTTCTCTCTGTGATGAACTGTTTAGTGTTTCTGCTTCCGGCAGATTCCGGTGAGAAGATATCGTTCCTGATATCCATTTTTGTTACTTATGCAGTGTTTCTTAACTTTATCAATGATGTCATGCCCAAAACGTCCATATCCAATTTATCAGTTTATCTGTGCCTCGTCCTGATTCAGAGTTGTCTAGCGCTCATTGTAACACTTGTGGTTCTTAATCGTCATCACAGTAAGGTTGATGATATAAAGGAACACACACGTGTGACGACATCCCGTTGTCGGAATGTCAGTCTAGACCACAAATGTTTTATCCTATTCTTACTGTTGGCCCTGATATCGACATCCGTATTGTTCATGTGAACCTGACCCGCGAAGACCCGGGTTAGAACTGGTCTTCAGCAGCCCATCCTTGTCAATTCCGTTTCAGCAAGTATGCACTTCCTGTTATCGGGGAGTGGCTGTAGTAACATAAGTTGGGTACGGCTCAATGTCATATGAATCACTTGCGACTGTTAGTTTGTGATAAACCTTACGCGGTTTGGGTGCAAAATACAAAATTCTAAACGTTGTTATTCATTATGTTTTTGGCTACTTTGCCATTCCGAGGACGTATGAGTTTGTTTGTAGTTTAACGCTGCAGTCAGCAATATTACAGTTTTATGACAGCGGTTTGTAAATAATCGAGCCCGGTCCAGACCACTTCTAACCCGGATATTCAAGGTTATGTGAGTTAAAGAGCTGAGTATTGTGCTGACGTCAGTATATGACGTGTGGTTAAGTAGCATTGTATCAAGTGTAATTCTAGATGCATCCTCTACGTCGTTGTAACCTGGTTGTGCTGTATATTGGAATATATTATTATTATTTTTTGTTGTCAGAATGGTACTGTATGTCACTGTTGTATGTGATGGCATAATGTTATATGGCAATGAAATTAACTGTTTAAAAATGTTGAAATTGTTTTACGCTGTTACTGTTTCGATTCAGTAGAAGTTCATAACATTGTGGCTTACCAATAGTTAGTTGTCAGGAATGTATGTGATGTATTTAATGTAAGCAGTGGTGTGGAAGTTATTACATTTAAATCTGGAAGCTTCAAGAGCAGCACTGGCAAATCTAGCACTGTACAGAGATTTTGTAAATGTTTAAGGTTCTGATGACTGAGAACTGAGAAGTTTATTCAGTAGTATTTGGGCCATAAGGCCTATGATACAGTTGACAAATACAATTTAAATGTTTAAGGTTCTTAGTGTTGTGTGGTATGATAGGGGCGCACCTATTCTGGGCTAGGAACGTGAGGCACTGTCAAGGTCGCAAATGGGTATGATATCTATGCTGTTTTGTATGTTGTACACGTTATCTGTGACCTCTGAGTCACACTCAAAGCGATTTTCAAAATATTTACTTTCAAACGTATTCACAATACCCCAGATGTGTACTTTCTTTTGTACTTCAGTATATTATATGTTTCCACTGAATTTTGTACTGCCATTCATTAGTGCACTGCTATTGTAATTCCTTTGCAGTAATTTGTAGTCCCGTGTTAATTGTGCTAACAGTCTGTGTGCATTGTGGCCGTGTCAGACTTGTGTGGAATGTATTAAATAAAAGCAGGTTGAAGTTATGTTATCTTACATGAATCAGTTTACACGTAAGTCTTGTGAGTAATAACTAAAAACCAACAAACACCGTTCTGTCGACAGTATATATATGTCCGCTGCAAATGTCCTTAGAGTTGATATTACGATCCAAGTATATAAGTATGTGTTTATGAATCAAGTGTTCACGAAAAGGTGCGCGTAGCCTGCCCCACCTGTCACAAAATACATGCAAAGGCAGGTCAATTGTATCATTGAAAAACACTCACCTGAACTCAAGATAGGAATTTACATCGTACATCATTTTGATGCGTCAAATTTGGAAATGTTCTCCTCTACCATGATGGACTTTGACAGGTTTATTGAGAGGTTTATTGAAGCCTTTAATGTTTTAACATTGATCGAACAACTTTCGTGTAAAGGACGGGTGACATTTTGGAAATCGAACATGATCGATCGTACTTCCAACGTTGTGAAATGTCAACACCTACGGTTGGAGCTGTTGGAATATTGCTCGACATAAAGGGAAAATTGACTTTTGGAGTGAGTGAGCGTTTTTTTGTCAAACAACCTTGTGGAGAGGGTTTATTCACTCTGAATCCTTATGCTTAGATCTAAATATGAAACACATGAAGCGGTCTCACTGGTCTCCTTTATTTCAAGTTCATGGAAGTCAACCATAAACACGAAATCAGCTAAGGACACTGATTAACTCACTGGGAATATGTGTGTAGTTACCGAAATAATTGTCTGGAAAAGAAACGAAATGTCAGATGATTTTCAATTTGGTAAACAAACAGGCATTTCTATATCTGGCATGATCAAATACAGAAGCCTGACATACACACATGTACATTAATTATGTGAACTGTGTTTATCTATACTCTTCAAAAAGAGAATCTTGACATAGGAACAATTTGAATTTTAGGAAAATATATCCGACACAAACCAATCCATCCTGAATCACAACATATTGTGGAATGGTTGCCGACGAGAAAACGTTTAAAAAGAAGCGTTGAAGAAAAACGTAACGTTACATTCACCTTTGTAATGTATCGCTAAAACGCACTCTACATGAAATGCACGTACATAATGAAATTGTGTATCACCCCGAGCCAAAGCCTATGACTGTAGGCTTCAAAAAGCCTCATCAACGGTACTCCAGGCAACTATAGACGACAAAGGAATGCCAAAACTAACAGAAGCACAACGCCATCGGCCGTTTACAAGGAGGGGCATCGCAGCGTGAGGTGGGAAGACACTTTGGGGTGTTTAGACAGACCTTCTCAAACCTGTGGACCAGATACAACAATACTGGGTGTTTTAATGACAGACCCAGGTCAGGTCCACCTAGAGTTCCCACCGCCGCCCAGGATCGCTACATCCGGTTGAGACTTCTTGGTTCACGCACCATGACCGCAACATCCACAACAACCCTAATCCCTTGACTGCGCCGAATCTCCGACCAGACGGTGCGCAATCAGCCAGAAGACTAGTTCGACCGCGGGTAAAAGGAGGACAATTCTGTTCTCAGATGACTCTCGGTTTCCTTCTCAGATGTGCTGATGGACGTCCACGTGTATATAGACGACGGCATGAACGTTACGCAGGTCGATAGATTTGGTGGTGGAATTGGTGTGGGCAGGTATCCATCATGATGGCCGGACATCTCTTGTGCACGTGAGGACGGTGGGGTAGCCTAGTGGTTAAAGCGTTCGCTCGTCACGCCGAAGACCCAGGTTCGAATCCCCACATGGGTACAATGTGTGAAGTCCATTTCTGGTGTCCCCCGTCGTGTTTTGATTGAATATTTCTAAAAGCGGCGTAAAACCAAACTCAGTCAGTTAGTCAGTCTTGTGCACGTGACAGGTGCATTGAATGGGGGTCTCTATAGAGACGAGATTTGGCAACGTCACATCGTTCCCTTCATCAACGTCAATGGTTGATCTTTGCAGCATGACAATGCCTGACCTCACGCTGAGCGTGTTTGCAAGGACTTCCTCCAGCAAAACAACGCTCAGGTATTACCGTGGCCAAACCTTGATCGACGCTTAATCCGCCATCTCAGACACTACAAGAACTGCACGCAGCACTTCAGAATATCAAAACATTCCTCAAGAAACATTCGGCATCTCCTTTCTTCTATGGGTCACCGCTGCCAAGCTGTTATCCATGCTCATGGTGATCACACCAGATACTCACATTTTACTCTGACCAAGTGGTTTTAATAGCCTTCTGTGGTTTTATCAAACACTTCCTGGATAATCATGTCTTGGAAAGTGATGAGTTTACTGTCACGTTTGAATCAGTTAAATGCATTCAGCAAATAAACTCCAAAACAGCATGTCAAGTTACTTTTTTTCAAAGGTATACTTCAGACGTGGCTACCTCTTTATCAAAGACTTTAGCATACTTTGATGCCAGAGTTATGCTGCCTGAAAGACTCTCAAATCAGCCTTGCTGGCATGGTTTAAGGGTTACGTGAACATGAAAAACACACCGAAATCACGCATTCACAAGAACTTGTTTGATAAATTTCTGATCATTGATTTATTGAAGTTTTGACTCTCCAGGAGTGAAATAATTGAGTAATGTGGGTTTAACGCTACTTAGAACGTTATTTCAGTTAGGTTACGGTGAGTCAGCTTAATATCGTAGATGGTTACCACTTTACCTTACTTTACAAATCTATGTTCATAAATAAGACAAACAGAATCTGCGTGTGCTGATAAGACCAAAGGAGGCAACTTTGTAAGCATTTGTTCCATCTGTGCCCAGTGATATATTAAAATCTAGAGGCAAGGTCTTACAAAATATTGTCGAGACATTTACTCTCTAATTGCTTCTAATGGCATACGAAATCGAACAAGTGTACTAAGTCAACACCTTTTGTCTCTACCCATCAATGACACATTAAATGGAGTCAAAACGTCCAGTTGATGACGGATATAAACTTAATAATAGAGTGATAGATAAGCATCTACTGTTTATTCACCATGCGCTGTGTTTACAAAGCTATTTTAGTCCATTACAGAGTTCTGGAAGTTTGCAGAGATTCAGCTTTTCAAGTATAGGGTGATCTTATTTGCCCAGTCACGTAGACTATCTGTAGACACTCGGAACAAGGCATCCACAGCTCATTAAGGAGAGGAAAAGACGCAGTAACAGCTTCACTGGTATTTCCACAAAATTATTTACAGACAACATCCAACGAGAGACAAAGATAACCTATTTAAAGTCCATGCAATAATTATGCCCTTGTAATAGGAAACTGTATACAAGAAGGTCAGTCTTTTATAGACACAACTCATCCATCCTATTTCTATACTCTAGGAATTATGATGTAAAATGAAAATCATAACTAGGTTCACTGTGTGTGTAGGGAGTGAGTGATTTTGGTTTTACGCCGCTTTTAGCAATATTCCAGCAATATCACGGCGGGGGACACCAGAAATGAACTTCACACAATGTACCCATGTGGGGATTCGAACCCGGGTCTCCGGCGTGACGAGCGAACGCTTTAACCACTAGGCTACCCCACCGCCCCATGTGTGTAGGGATATGCTATGTGAAACATGAACTTTTCAATAATAATGAATTACGTACATGGGGATATTTTGACTACGGATGTAGCTCTAATGATGTTCACGTGTCAAAAATAGGAGGTGTTTTGAGGTTAAGTGCAACAGACATAGACATTCTTGTGGTCAACGCTTTGTTCTATTACTTAGTATTTACATTTATATTACATGATCGCCTACATTTTTATATAATAAATATAAATATTCGATACGTATTGTATTATAAGAATCATATGATGTGGTAAGATACGGATGATGTGGTAAGATACGGATGATATGGTAAGATACGGATGATGTGGTAAGATACGTATGATGTAAGATACGGATGATGTGGTAAGATACGGATGATATGGTAAGATACGGATGATGTGGTAAGATACGTATGATGTAAGATACGTATGATGTGGTAAGATACGGATGATGTGGTAAGATACGGATGATATGGTAAGATACGGATGATGTGGTAAGATACGTATGATGTAAGATACGGATGATATGGTAAGATACGGATGATGTGGTAAGATACGTATGATGTAAGATACGGATGATGTGGTAAGATACGGATGATATGGTAAGATACGGATGATGTGGTAAGATACGTATGATGTAAGATACGGATGATATGGTAAGATACGGATGATGTGGTAAGATACGGATGATGTGGTAAGATACGTATGATGTAAGATACGGATGATATGGTAAGATACGTATGATGTGGTAAGATACGTATGATGTGGTAAGATACGGATGTTATGGTAAGATACGTATGATGTGGTAAGATACGTATGGGTAAGATACGTATATGGTAAGATACGTATGGTGTGGTAAGATACGTATGATATGGTAAGATACGTATGATATGGTAAGATACGGATGATATGATAAGATACGGATTATGTGGTAAGATACGGATGATATGGTAAGATACGTATGATGTGGTAAGATATACGTATGATATATAGAGAATACTACACGAGGTCTCATTACATACGAATTATACGAAACGAGTGTCCTTCCTTTGGTATCTGACCGAGCGAAAGCGAGGTCAGATAACATAGGAAGGTCACGAGTTTTGTATAATTCGTATGTAAGCGAGCGAAAGCGAGGTCAGATAATATAGGAAGGTCACGAGTTTCGTATAATTCGTATGTAATCAGACCGAGTGTGGTATTTTATTTATTACCTACGTCTTACATGCATTTAATTGACAAAATAGCGTATTTTTGTTGTTTTTATGCTTTCAAACCGAAATCGGTTTCATAAAGAGGTTGCGGAAGAGTTTTGTACTGTAGTACAATATTTGCATGACGTCACACTGTAATGACGTCACTGCCTTGGTAACTGACGTCACGATGCATGTCAGTTGTCATCGCCTCGTACAGCCTCCTACAGTAAACTACTCCGTAGCACCCCGTTTCTTGGTTTGCAGTTGCTTCATTCGGCTAACATCACTGGTGGAACCATTGCGTTTATGTTTTTCGACGGATATGATGTCTCAGTTCGACTCACAATTAAACAGCGACACGGCAACGTTCACAATGTTTACATTCCCACAATGCATATAATTTGTAGAATGAATGAATTCACGTGTTTGTTATGAATGGACAAGTAGTTCCGTCACAACGTGACCTAATTGAGAGGTCATCGGTTATCCAATCAAATCGTTAGAATCTCAGGTCAAGTCGTTACGACACAGGTCAACGCGATACGACACTCGTGTGACGTACGAGAATAGTATGCAACTACCCATACGTTGACCACGTGGGTAATAAGGTAAGATACGTATGATATGGTAAGATACGTATGATATGGTAAGATACGTATGGTGTGGTAAGATACGTATGATATGGTAAGATACGTATGATATGGTAAGATACGTATGGCATAACAATGTATGGTATGGATTTAAAACTTCTTTGTTGTTTACAACACGACGTTTCTGTGCTCGTTCTTGCCCCTTCATCAGATAAATGGATACGTAATTACGTATGCTATGAAAAGATACGTTTGCTATGATAAGATACGTATGATATGATACAATACACATATCATATCATATTATATTATACAATTATAGACTTTAATTATAGACTCTTGTAGAGGTCGATATCGGTTTTTATTGACCTGAGTAAAACAATATCGACCTTGCGAGGTCGATATTGTTTTTCTCAGGTCAATAAAAACCGATATCGACCTCTACAAGAGTCTATAATTGTTTTATTATATAATGAAAGAGAAACGGGTTTTAACATAAACTTTTAATGCACACATTGTGCCATCTATCCGAGTGATCTGATTGGCTGAAAAGCGGGGGAAGCCCCTTCGTACGGGATTCCTTGTCTATTTTTAGTAACCCAAGTCATTATCGTAATTTATCAGAAAACTCAAGTCAATATCGTGTTTTGTAGTCAATCATGTGACGGTCTTTTGACCAATCGTGGTACAGGAAAAATACTACCTATATAATAATATAATATATTATATTATTGTACACAGCTGAAAATTGAATGTGACCAAATATTACAAACGTTATCAAAACGTTGTCAGGCTCAGAATAACCGTAAGCATGTGTGGGGTTTAATATATCGGAAAGCCAGTTAATCAGAATGTCTACTCGAAACATAAGCAAATCTAAGTCTCCGTAAGATTATGTAACTAATTATATTCCCATGCACGTTAATCTTCATCTGGAAAAGCGAGACTGTTCGAACATGGCGAACTGTACCTAAATGTCAACAGACCTCAGCACGTTATGACATTAAAAAACCGTGCTCAGTACATGAGCCCAGTACATGGGAACATTTCAACACTGGCTGGTCCTTCCCACAGTGCTACAAATACAACAATTCTGAAGTCTAAAAAACATGACGTTGGACGGTATCGTCTCATACTCTTTCAAAGGATATCAACTTCTCTGACACCTTTCAAGTAGAGATGTATGAACGAGCTGATCTCGTATCTTCATGTATCTTCTAACGAGGTTGTTATGTTTTCATTACCAACTAACAAGGAGTACATAACTAGCCACCGCATATATTAGAATATTAGACATCAGAAATAGGAACGTTGAGGATTCTTGCTTTGTCGAAATCTTTCTATTTTCAACATAATCTTGTTCAGCTGTGGATTTACTATGGGTTACTCTCCTCCTTAAGAGCAACTGAGAATGAGTGAGTGAGTTAAAATTTAACGTTACCTCGGCAATATTTAAGCCACAAAGAGAGAGAAAGGTTTTCCATGCACAATAAATATAATTTGTTAAATTATCAGTCGTCGAAGGACTGTAAAATGACTAGAATATCACAGTGGGTCAAAGTCAAGTCAAAAGTTGTTTATTGTATGAAAGGCCTGTTACGACGTAAATTGTAATAAAAACGCAAATAGTAATACTTGCAGCAAATTGTAATAAACTTGACGTAAATTGTAATAAAAACGTAAATTGTAATAAAAATTGACGTAAATTGTAATAATTTT